TTTTCGTAATTCTGATTTTCAGGACTGATAGTGCACTGAAATTCGGCTGGTTTTTCTTGTTCTACTTGGTGAGTCTCGTTTGTTGCCATTATATTATTCCATGATGACTATAGCCTATTGGTTTTGACTCCTTCAACTCAACTGCACCATGCAGCTCCATCTTGGTTTTTGCATAGTTGCTGCAATCGCACCCCCTATTTTCTTTAATGGGAAATCATTAACGTAAGATTCCTTTCTGTTTCTTTTTCCTGTTTCTCCTATGAGAGTAGGTTATTTATGTTCCCTTTTGGTTCTTTTCGCTCGAACATGTCTGAAAAATTTCGTGGCTTTCTCTTGTATGAACCCATATTTCATGAATCAATTTCAATATTACCAGGGGCATACTTTCTGCTATTGATGTCATCTCCACCAATGTGTTGGTAGGGGTAAGTCTCAATTGACCTAAAAAATAAATTTTGCTAGCTCAAATAGCATTACGGTTTTATATTCGCTTTCTACTTTCAATGATTTTTTTTAATTATCATTTATGCAAATTGTAAATGAAGTTGTTGTGCATTTGCTACATTGCACTCTAATGCAGATTTTCTACCTGATTGGATTTGGTTTGTTTTGCTTGGAGTCGCTCTTGAGCCTGTGGGTTCTCCAGGTTAGAACATCGTCAACTGAACTCCAGATATTATACTCTAAAAATCATAAACAAAAGTACGATAGTTCATCGCATATTTATGCATTTTTGTTAAGTATGACGGGTCGATACGCCTAACGATTAGGCATACTCATAAGAATTTGAGTAAAGCCTTCATCTTTTAACAATTATATTACTGCAATTACAATAAGCTTATAGAGTAAACGGCACGACACCATTTTAACTCATTCACTTTTTTTTAAGAAAAAAAAAATTAATCATATTTTTGGATGTTGGTTGTCTTCTCTACAGAAAATATACAGGTACTTTAGGGGGCACAAGTAAAAAATCATGGGGGCACAATAGAAATTGCTCTAATGGGGAATACACTAATACAATATAATGTTTGGTTCTTTCATTTTTGCAGTATAATCCTTAAACTTTTGTGACTTTGTCATTCACATATTTTTGATATTAAAACATTTGCACATTTATTTTTGGTCGTTTTGGTCTAAGCTAAAATATTTTCAAGGAATTTTATATATGATATGATGAATTGATGATGCTCATGCCCTGCACAAATGGGCCCGAAGTCCGAAAAGCATGTGGCCCAGAATTCAGTTGGATCAAACAAAAAGAGTCTGTATGGCCCATAAGCAATCTTGAATATGGTCTTCATAAGTGGAAAAGTATTTTGGCGGACCAAAATTCAAATGGATTAAAATCTGCTCTTTACACTCCTACACTCTCACCCTCACACCCCTCATCTACTCGCTAGCCACTCTCCTCATGACACGTGGCACAAAAAATAATCCAAAAACCTCTTTAACAAATGTCCACCAACCCTTTTCCCCATACCTCCATTTTATCATCATAATTCACAGACATGTCTCCTCATCAAAATAGTTTTTGCCACACATTGCTTGATAACATAAATTAATAATTGAAAGATAAAAAGATTGATAGTTCCTTCTCTATTATGCTAAATGTTACTGGAAGAAGCTACGGTTCTCCTGTTACGAAATTATTCTGTCGGGGTTTGTAATCGTTAGACCAATTATCTCTGACCGTTACATGATAATCTAACTGTTACAAATCCCCGACCGAATGGTTTCGTAACGGGATCTTAGCATTTCCTAATGTTTCTATCAAAGGACATGCACAACATAACTTGCTTTTACATTTAAGAGAATACTCTTGAAAGTTGAAATCAAGCCCCATTTGGTTTCATTTTGTTTTTCCCATAGTGAACTTCAAATGAAATACATCTCAAGCTCTCATATTTAGTTAAAAAATTACCACCTCTATTGTCCAAAAACAAGGGCTTTCGTAGAAACGCAAATACGATTCTATCAGTGTGAGCAGTGCTCAAACGGGCACACGTAAGTGTTTATGATCCGATAGAAAA